TGAACCATCTATTCTGTTAGATAGACTCACAGTAATGTTCACTTACCGACGGTGGACACATGGTAATATGTCAACCGCTTATGTGACATGCATACATTGGTGTATTTTTTTGAACATATTAACATCACCAATGTGTGCAAGCCATATAAGAAGTAGGTATATTAACATGTGTCCGTAGGTAGGGGAACATTATCCGATAGACTCAACCATAGATATACAATTTTAGAAAAAATATAGCTACAAAATTTTATTGGACTTCCATAATAAGTTTATTAGACTACCATAACAAGTTACAATATTTCCACACTTTCATTCTTAGATTTCAAAATAATTTTTGTTAATAATTCTACTTAATTTGTTTAATTAGCTCCAAATATTTAGGCCTCAGTTAGTATTTGTTTAATAATTTGATTGTTCCCCTCATTTAAGTCCCTTAGGAATATACTAATTATTAGACCATTCAAAAATGCACTTGATAAATATCTTAATGTAAGTTTGATGCATCAATTACTCATTATTTCCATTATTTTATTTTTTTCAATATCAAACATCAAACTTCAAATTTTTAACTCATGAAACAACTAGACGAGTCGAGCTCTCATGTTCGAGCTCGACTCGTTTAAGCTCGGACTTGGCTCGAATCAACTCGTTTAATAAACTTAAAACTTTAAACGAGTTGTTTGCGAATGTGAAGTTTTTGTTCCTGAATAAGTTTCGATCGATTGTTTTTAAAACACACAGAAAAAAAAAGTAAATTAGAAACGAAATGTTCGCAAACAAGTTTGGTTCTGCTTGATTAGCAAACGAGCTGCATCACCTGTTTTAAAATAAACCGAAATAAAGTTTGCACGAGTCGAGCTGAGCTAAGCCGTGATTCACAAACAAAGGGACATAAAGCAAAAAGGACTCCCTCATCACTTTTTTCCAAACCAACGGTAAACTCCATTATTTGCCCATTTGAATAAATACATCGTCACTTTTTCAAGCGCAGATCAGAAAAACAACGAAAATGGAGAAAGACTGCAAAATGAAGAAGCACAATAGAGAGAAGAAGAACACTAATGGCCGCCCATTGCAAGTTATCAATGGCGGGTCATCTGTTGCACAAAAGCCCAGCACCAAAAAACCCTCAAATTTTTCATCTTTTTCATCGTATTCTTCATCAGCTGCTCCCAATCCTCGTCAAGCTCCAAGATTCTGTTCGAAGAAGAAATCTTCTCTCTCCTCGAAAACCTCGTACTCACCATCTTCTTCATGATCCCAGATTCAGAAATTTCCGAGCACGAACTCTTACAGAACATCAAATTCATCAAAGCCGCTGTCCAAATCCAAAGAAAATGAGATGCCCAGAAAACCCTTTTCACAAATACCCAAAAGGGACGCATCCCAGAGCCAAAATCTTAAACCCATTTGCAAAAATGGTCGAAGATCGAAGCTTGCACCTGTTGAGAGCCAAAAATCGGACAAATTCGAAAAGGGGCCTTCAGAATTTCAGTCAAAGTTGAACAAGAACTCGCAAAACAATGGCCCAACTTCAGGTAATATGACTAACAATCCTAGTTGTGATGAAAAACGTAGTCCCGTGGCAAAATCCATTAATTTCAGCACTGTGATGGTTAATTTTTCTTCGAATGAGGTAGATAAAGAGAATGATAGTAGTTGTTGCACTGCTGTAAAAACGCCTCCAGTCGAGGCGTCACTATCCCCCGAGATCCAAACTCAGTCACGTTCTAAGATTCCGGTTTCGAAAATGGAGGCGAAGACCCCCATTTTTTACGGTGCCGGCCATCTCGTCTCGGGTGTCAACGATAAAAGAAAGTGCAGGCGAAGGGGGAGCCTTAAAGGTTTTGAAGAAACTAACTTTTTTCATGAAAATGGTTATATCTCGATTCCTTTGCCTGCCGAGGCCTCGGTCAGGTGGGTCTTATCCCCATGTGACGAGGAGCGTGTGGATTTCGATCGTGGTTGGAGTGAAAAAGCATCAGATTCAGTGTGTGCTGATATTGGTTCTGATAATGAGGCGAATAGTATTGGTCATTATTCAGCATTATCTATTTGTTCCTTGAGTGGTGGAAATATCATCCAGACACCGAACTCGGATTCGAGCTCGGGCAAGCACGGCGGACTTGTTCGGTCTGAAATGGATGCTGCAACTAAATCTTTGAACGGAGTGCGTATGCCGATGTGGGAACCTGCTATTTTACGAGAAAGTGCAGTTAATAGTGTTTCTTCTTCTTGGGTGTCGAGTACTGCATTAGATAATTTGGCATTGTCCCGGATGAAAATTTCATGGCGAGATGGGCTTGCAGACAAGATTCTCGAAAATGATGAATTCGATGATTGCTGTTGCTTGTTGTCTGATGAGGAGGCCGATGGGTTTTGTAGTGAAAAGAAGATAGTATCGTGTCTAGGCAGTGAAGAAAAAGAATCGGGTGATAATAATAAAGACAATGGTTTTAGGATGGAAAACGGCTTGTGTCCAGTGTTTCTCGATTATGAACCTCAAATTTGTGGCAGAGGGAAAGAAAAATCATCGTCAAATGGGGTTAACGTGTGTGTTGCAGAGTCTTTTTTGACTGATGGGGGTAGCTTAGTTGCTTCTAGTGATTCGGACTGGACTTACTGTCGTGAAAATCGCTTGTTTCAGGTAAAATAGTAGTTACTCCCTAGCAGCATGTTTTTCGATGTTTACTTATCGGACAAGGAGCTCTACTTGTTAAAGATTACTTGACTGGGATTGTTTGTGGTGGATTTTGTGAGAAGTTCCACTAATTCTTGCATGATTTTATCGAGTACTCCTCTTTACTTGATCTTTGACTTGTGACAAAAGGTGGACTATAGCTGATTAGGTAGATATCAGATGAAAAACACATGTAGGAATCGAGTCGAATCACCAAAGGAAGTTCAAATTGAAATAGTCTTTTTTAGGTTCATATCTGATGAAAAAAAACTATCTTATTCTGCTTGATCCGAACTTGAGCTAGGCCTGAGTATTACAAAACTGAACGCATATGCGTGCGCAAATAGTGTCAGCAAGCAGATGAAGTTTTTACTGTTTTTCATCATCATTTTTTGGGATCAATTTAAAGTGCCAAAGTACAATTAGCTGGGTTTTCTGAGTAGTGATGATAAACACTCTTATGATTGTTGAATCTCTAGTATTTGTTGGCTTTCTTTCTATGCAGTGGTTTTTAAGATAGTTTGCAGTTCCATGTTGTTCTCGTCGTCGTCTGTTTTTTTTTTTTTTTTTTTTTTTTNNTCTTTTTGGGTGCCATTCATATCCATCATGTTCTTATATAATTTCAGTAAAATCAAATAATTGAGATGAATATGAAAATCTTGAATTTAAAAACAATCTTAAAATTGCACTAAGATGTATCACATGAATGTGCCCTAAATTTGCAGTTTTGGTCCAAGCAAGAAGGTAGATTACTTCAAGGAACAAACAAATGAAGTCACCCAAGTTTCAATTTTCTTATATGATAATCCAAGTCAAATTAAGGTGACTTGTTTATATGTGGTTCCCAACTCATTTCATTCTACCTTTACTTGAAGAAAACAAAACCTTCCCCACAATAAAAAGGTTTAATTGTGTACAAAAAAAATAAAAATAAAAAATAAAAAAAATAAAAAGAATACCTAAGATCAATTTCCCACCAAATCTATACAAAAAACAAAGTCAAAATAAATCCTCCTTCCCATCCTAACACCAAAACATCAACAAAAATACTTAAAAGAAGAAAAAAAAAAAAAAACCAAGAGAAATTTTGAGGAAAAAAAAAGAGAGATGAAAATGGAAGGTCTAATTCCAATGGCTTACAAATCCCTCAAGAAGAACCAAGAACGGCGAAGCTACGAATGCATCTCATCCGAACCGGCACAAACCTACAAAATCGAAGATTTGTACACGACAGATGTCGATGAAGAATATTATCATCACTTCAAGCCGAAGACATAACACAACTGGCTCACATGGGTCGTCTCGGAAGTTTGTGGGTCGTCTCGGGAGTTTTTTCGAGGAGGACGAAGTCTTTAAGCCTAAGCAGCTTGTGAGGTTTAAGAGCCACAAAATGTTCTCATGTTTAAATGGTGCATGAATGTGTTGTAATATTGCACTTAATTGTGTTAAGGAACCAAAGTGCTTCCCTATTAAGATTATTTCTGTAACACCCCGCCTAATTATTTCTAGAATTTATAAAATCAGAGTAAAATTTTTGCTTTTTATTTTCGAGAAACTCTTAAACTTTATTTTCGAAAATACTCATACTAACTTGCGGGATGCTACTAACTTAAACTCTTTCTCATGCAGACGTAAATAAATACATACAACCTAATCAAATCCGTTATATAAAGGTACCACGAAGATAAAGGCATTATACATGCATAAGTCTGAAACTCTCATAATACATACTAAGTCTGAAATGTGCGGAAGCTGAAACATAATATGTCTACGCATAGAAATAATAGTACATGTTCAAATAATGACATGCAGATGCGTTACAAAAAG